AGCCTTTTAAACATTTTGAAAACAAACTTAGTCACAAACTTATCAGAGGATACATTGTGGGTGACAAGACATGACAGCTTTAAGGACCACAGATTGATAAGTGAAAACTTTTGTGAAATAGTGTCAAACAAGTCCTTCAATGGTTTCATATTGATGCAGGTACAGTAGCTTCTAATACAAAAATTAGCTTTCTGTTTAGTTACCAACTATAAAACAATGGAGATGGAATAGTTGGAATGACATGTTTGATGATTACTTTGCAAAATGTGTCAGTTCAATGAGAATCAGTTAAAACGTTTGGAAGAGATTACTTCCCTGCTGAATTTTAAAACAATTGTGCTGAGCCCCCTCCTGTTCACGTTGCTCACATATGACTCCTCACCCATCCATCCAGGCTGTCATATTGTGAAGTTTGCAGATGTCACAGCAGTGGTTGGATGCATCACAAACGAGTCCAGCTAAAGGCAGGAGGTGTATGGAGCTATATGGGTCTCAATATCCTCACACGTGCACAGAACAATCCATCCGTGCACAGAACGGTTCACACGTGCACAGAACAATCCATCCGTGCACAGAACGGTTCACATGTGCGCAGACCAATCCATGCGTGCACAGAAAAATCCATGCGTGCACAGCACAATTCGTGCATGCACAGAAAACAATTCATGCGTGCACAGAACGATTCACATGTGCACAGACCAATTTATGCATGCACAGAACGTTTCACACGTGCACAGGAAGTTTCACACGTGCACAAAAGAGTTCATACATGCACAGTACAAAATTTACAAATGCACAGGACCAGACTCATACGTGCACAGAACAGTTCACATGTGCACAAGAATAGATTCAAACATGTATTTCTAATGCACACACAAATATATTTTTATTTTCAAAGTGCTGGTGCTCTGTGAACTTCTCTGCATTTGTGTGTGAATTTTGAGACTCCCCTGACTTGGCTCAACCCACACCTGTCTTTTTTTCAATAGGAAATGATCTCCAACCAATCACAAAGCTTCTTTGTATTCAGCCAATCATAAGAACTTTCCCCATGTGGGGGAAGGGTTTATTTATAAGCCAATCACAATAGTTGTTCCAATTTYAAGCAGCAACCAGTGTTGCCAGATTGGBCTGGTTTCCACCCAGTTGGGCTTCTTTAGAACACGTTGGGCTAGAAAGTACAGCTTTTGGCAGCTTGTTATAATTTCCTTATGAATACTTCTAAAACCTGCCAAATGTTGTGAAAAGTAGCCCAAATTGTATCAAAATAGCAAATGTCACTACTAAATTGTGTTAGTTAATATCACCTGTAAATGCACCAATGTCACTACAAAATTGTGTTAGTTAATATCACCTGTAAATGCACCAAATAGAAGAGACTGTTTCTGAGAATCTGAGGACCTACACCCTCCTTCTGCAAAACGAGTGCTGTTAGTTGAGTTTTCTTATGCACATGCTTGCAGCAAACATTTTACCCACCCCCATCTGGTTATTTAGACGTTTTCATCCTAAAGATGTGTGTCACTCTCTCTAATACTGTCTTTTCAGAGCTACAAAATAATACTGATTCAATGCAGATGTGTGCTAATGGTGTATTTTTATTAGTATAATATACACATGTAGGCTATATCAGTAAAATAAATTTTTTATACTGCACACACTGTCAGAGGTTAAGATTTGGTCAGGTTTTTTTTTGTGTGTGTTTGGGCGGGTTTTGCGTTTGTGCTGAAAACTGTCATTCCAATCTGGCAACCCTGGCAGCTGAGAACGGTAAGTCGGCATCATGGCTGCTGGAAACCATAGGGATGTGGTAAGTGAAACATCTATCTTCTTAACATGTTTGGCTGCTTATCCCCTTAATATGAGAAGTTGTTATTCGCTTATTTAGTGCAACTATCAACACATGTTAAGCTAGTAAGCTACGTTAACACGTCCTCTAGCTCTGCATGCCGCCAGCGCTGCTACGTTAGCACCTCTATGCTAACATAGCAGC